ACAGTTTTTTGTGTATTAATTTTCATCTTCCATTTCGAGCAGCACCAGTCCTGAATAGACCCAACAGATGCACTTAATCTGCGCTGGTCGTCTTGCTCCTCGATTTTCGAATATACCAGACAATCATCCGCAAATAGTCGCACAGCAACCCCTTGATTTATTTCCGCCGCGATATCATTAATGTAAATTAAAAATAATATTGGCCCGAGTACTGACCCCTGGGGGACGCCCGAGGGCACTTCAGATACAATTGAACGGTCACCGTTAACCTCTACATACTGCACCCGATTAAATAAATACGCCCTGATCCAGAATATCACGTTCTGATTTACACCATGCAAAGAAAGTTTATGAAGTAGTTCAGTGTGTGGTACTCTATCAAACGCCTTAGAAAGGTCAAGGCATATCGCATCAATCTGTCCTCTCTCATTAGAAGAAGCTGAAAAATCGTCAAATGTTTCTATGAGTTGCGTGACCGTCGATAGTTTCTGGCGAAACCCATGTTGGTTAGAATGAAAAATGCTAGAGGATTCAAAATACTTGTATAAAGCTTTAGAAATAATGTGCTCAAATAATTTGCATACTATGCACGTTAAAGATACGGGGCGGTAGTTTTCAATATTATGCTTACTTCCTTTTTTAAGGATTGGTACGACCCTCGCACTGCGCCAATCGGGGGGTACTTGGTGTTGTTTTAGTGATGTTTGAAAAATAATGGTAAGGTATTTTGAAACCCATTCTGCATATCTTTTTAAAAACTTGTTGGGTATTTCGTCTGGCCCGGTTGTCTTCTTTACGTCTAAGTTTAATAGTAATGAAAAGACTCCCTCTTCAGTGATTATTATATCTCCCATAGTACTACTTGTCGCATTTAAGCTCAAGTCCTCTGTAGCGCCATCTGTATTAAGAAATACACTATGGAAAAAGTTATTAAACCTATCGGCGATATCTTTTGGATCGGTCACAATTTCATTGTTTTCAATGATATATTCTAATCGTTCTTTCCGTGGTTTTAAGTGACGCCAGAATCTGTCGGGTGCATTTCTCATAAAATTCGGTAGGGTTTCAGAAAAATAACGTCCCTTCGCTGAACTCAACTTTTGTTTTAAAAGACATGAAAGCTCTAGGAACTCTTCTTCGTTTTCCTTTCTTTTACGACGTTTGCGTTTTATCTTACGCTTGAGTTGTACGATCTCTCGGGTTACCCATGGATTCGATTTTCTTATTGATTTCTTCCGTTTGGGTATAAAATGTTCTAAGCAATAGGTAACAATTCGTTTAAATTCAGCCCATAAAAAATCCACGTCACCCGTACGATCGAAAGTTGAAAACTGAGAAAATGACAGATCGAGGTAATCTAGCACACTTTCGTCGTTCGCTTTAGAAAAATTAGGCACTTGGATAGAACACTTTGTTTGTTTGCAGATTTTAACAGTTTTGAAACATGAAAATACTAATTTATGATCAGAGATACCCTTGTAAACAGTCACATCATACTCGAGTAAATGACTACTTACAAATATTAAATCTAACAACGAGCAGCTGTTTCCAACTTCACGAGTGAAAACCGTAACAACTTGCGTAAGACAATTGTCGAACGCAATATCGAGAAGAAGTTCGCTATTAATTACATCCATATGTCCTGCATCAAGCTCGTCCCAATTAATTCCAGGCAAATTAAAATCCCCAGCAATAATTAGTCTGGTTCCGAGTCTAATGTTAGTATTAAGGTAGTCCTGTAGTGCTTCCAAGACTGAATTAGGAGCATCCGGAGGCCTATAAAATGCACAGACTACGTAGTGTGTATTGTAAAAGTTCACTTTGCACCATATACATTCAACGTCCTGAATGTCTTTCATTACTACATAGTCGATATTATTTCTAAGAATCAATGCTACGCCGCCTCCTCTCGTCTTTCTATCTTTTCTTACCATCTTATACCCCGGTGGCAGTAACTCTCCATCACTTATTCCTGGGTGTAACCATGTTTCTGTTACTACGACAACATGGGGGTTATAAAGCATTAGTACCTGCTCGAGTTCAATAACTTTATTAGCTAAACTGCGCGCGTTTAGATTTATGATACGTAAATCCGCGGTTTTTTGTTCAGCGAGTCCCCCTTCAATATTATCGGATCTATTCCTTTTAAGTTTAACGCGGCAGTCATCCTCGTCATGCCACGAGTAGAAATCATCGTTTATCTTCATCTTATCTCCAACGAGCTTTACTCGGGCGCCATCATCCCTCTCTGCCCTCGCGCTTTCCCAGAGCAACTTTCGTCTGGTTATCGTGGTCCGTGAAAAGTCATCTGAAATAGACATTCTTGAGCCCTTCAATTTTTTGCATTTACGAAAGATTTCTATTTTTTTTTCATTGAAGTCTGCAAAGTTCCTAATTACTGGCCGAATTTTGTTGGGTTGCTTCCGTCCAATTCTGTGCGTTCGTACGATCGACTTTACTGTAACTCCAAGGCGGTTTTGGAAAACATCTGTGACTACTTTTGCTTTTTAATCTTCGTTTTTTTCGTCTTGGTTCTCAGCGATACCAAAGATTACCAAGTTGTTTCTTCGACTATAATCCTCTAGGTCGACAAGTTTCTCCTGTTGGGTTTGAATGATCGCATTCAACTTTTTAACGGTATCTTCAAGGCCACTGACTTTGGCGTCGCTGTTCTTGACAGAAGTTTCAAGTTGTTTAATGTTTTTTGTGAGTTCGTCCATTCTTTTATGGAAGCTATTTTGGTTTTCTTTAATTTCTTTAATGTCAAAGCTTATTTTTTTGGGGTTTCTAGCATTTCGAACATCATTTTTTCAGTCCTTGTTTCTGGGCCCGGGTTTAGCTCGACATCACCTGACAGCAGGAGCGCCATCATTTCATAGCAATGCAAGACACAACCGTAAAACACTTTGGGGCACGGCAGGACAATGAGGTACCGATTATCACTTCTACAAGTTGAGTAAGTTTCAGTGCTAACCTGAATGGTAAATAACAGTGGCATATCAACCGACGTGATCCTTGCAAAGTTGCCTTGCCCACTGAAGCTTGTCGCGTCTGGTACAGTTCTTATAACAGCTGGGCCGTCGTCCCACAATGCCCTAGGTGCGGTATCATGCCAGGGTGATGTTCCGCTGACGATGACCGGTGCAGCATCATACCAGGGCGATGTTCCGCTAGCGATGACCGGTGCTGATACGGGGCCTCCGCTGAATCCTATCTTCGTTTGGTTTGCTTTTGCCGCCGACGAAGAGCACTGGCCCAACAACAGCAGCACCTGAATGGTAAATAACAGTGGCATATCAACCGACGTGATCCTTGCAAAGTTGCCGTGCCCACTGAAGCTTGTCGCGTCTGGTACAGTTCTTATAACAGCTGGGCCGTCGTCCCACAATGCCCTAGGTGCAGTATCATGCCAGGGTGATGTTCCGCTGACGATGACCGGTGCAGCATCATGCCAGGGCGATGTTCCGCTAGCGATGACCGGTGCTGATACGGGGCCTCCGCTGAATCCTATCTTCGTTTGGTTTGCTTTTGCCGCCGACGAAGAGCACTGGCCCAGCAACAGCAGCACCTGAATGGTAAATAACTGTGGCATATCAACCGACGTGATCCTTGCAAAGTTGCCTTGCCCACTGTCCAGGCTCATCCCTTTGCTGCCTGTCCTCCCCTGATGCGTGGTCCCACCACGGACTGCCCATGCTGTTGCAGGTCTGCCATCGCTTGCACCCTACGTTGTAGCCTTTTTACCCTTTTCTTCATATTAATTTAGCTTAATGTATATATTGCCAATACAATTGAAATGGAACAAACGTACTAGCACAGCCAATATGAGCTGAAACGCCACTACACGCGGCACGCGATGAGAGTTGTCTCTCAGATTGTTCAGCAAACCTTGGTATGCGCTGAGGTAGAAACAAATCACTTCTTCTGCTCGTTGCACCACTATGCCGTTCCGTGTCAATTTCCAGCTCATAGTGGCGCAATGAGTGCAAGAAGCAACCTGCCTAAACCTCAGCAAACACAGAGGTTCACTGAAAATCCGACAGGTGGCTCTGACACGCCATGCGTCATGGCGCTTCAACTAATATTGGTCACAATAGTGCTTCCTCAAATGTTTCTGGTTTTTCTGTACCACCTAGTCATTCCGCCCAGCGAAACAATGTATGATTTCATAATTTCATAATTAAAATATCAAAGCAATGCAGCTTGTTTGACTTTATTCTTCTTAGTAGTTGCATTTGCCGTACTAAAATGTCGGGCTGGCGATTACCAGTGTGCAGTGGACAATATAAATAAAGTCTAAGTGGGATATATGCACCTCGTCATGCTCCAGACATGGCATAATTAAGTTTCCAAATTATGCATTCACATATTGTTGTGTTTTTTAAGTTGTGGCCAACTCGAACTGTTTCAAATTAGCCATGAAACCACCATAAGCAAACCGTAAAAAATAGACGTCTCAAAATACGACAGGTCATTCGACCATCAGACCAAACCAACAGACCATCAAACCATCAGGCCAACAGACCATCAAACCATCAGGCCAACAGACCATCAAACCATCAGACGTCTCAAAATACGACTCCATCAGACCATCAGGATTTTCCTGATGGTATTTTCGATAGGGGGGAGAGAGAGAGAGACGAGGCACGAAGAGATGGTCAATATGCCGTCAGACATTGGGGCTGACGTTCATTGCCAATCAGTCATGTAACGGAAATGAGTGAACTCTAACAATTTCCAGCGCGCAGCACATTTTCTAAGCATTATTGACACAGCTGCGTGAGCGATGATAAAGGACTTCACAGTGTTGTGCCATCGGTGCGTCGTCGTACCTCTGCTCCTAATGGCAAGCGCGCCTAATTGCCATCCTGACAAATTATCTACAAGCGCGCAAGTTCTTGCACGCGTGTGATGCCAGATGGGATTGGAAGCTTGTAACTGAGTAAACCGAAGAGTTCCAAAATGAAGGACCCATGAAAAAAAAATTGTTTTAATGATAAAGTTATTATAATCAAGGAGGCTTTATTTTTCCCTTTTCTTCAGGCTGTACAGGAAAACTAACCTGCAAGAAATTTCCAGCAATTACTTTACTAGACATAAAAGGTAACACTACGCTCATTTGCATTAGACGGCGCGCCTACAGATCCGAATCCTCCTCTAGCGGGAGAAACGTTGCGCATTAGGAAATATATGCCTATCGTATTGTTCCGCACGGCGCTGAGGGAGATGGCCATTGCCGACGTATCCAAGCTAGAGTTTTTTGGGTTTTTTTTCTGGAAAGTCGAAACGGCTGTTGGCCCGCAGAGAAATCACGACGATGGGGGGGGGGGGGGGGGGGGGGGGGGGCAGCCACCCACCCAATTCAAAATGAAAAGCCCTGGAGCTGCGGCGATCTGGCCATTCAAACTACGCCAATCCTGCCCTCGCCAATCACTGTGGATTTTCATATAGTAAGAGGTGTTCCCCTATTGCTGCATTTCCAAATATTTTAGTACGGAATACATCGTACCCCGCGAAAATCCAATGGCCTTGGCGCCGAGAGGATTTCTGTATAGTTAAAACGGCTGGACGCGCGCAGCCTCCGGGTCTTTCCCTTTTGAATGGGGAATGGTGGCTGGGGCCATCTATCGTTGTCAAAACTTGTTGAGACAGCGGAGACAGCCGTCTCTGCTGTCTCGACGAGTCCGGTATCTCCGTGTGCCGGCGACAGCGTGGTCAGTGCGATGCGCGTGAGCTCTGTCGAACGCGGCGTGTCCTCCCAGCTGATTTGGAGCTGTATTCGCGCTCTTTAATGCAAAGGATTGGAGCGGGACGTATTCTCCTAGTGATGTACTTGTTTGTTTTAAGGGCCGCCCTTCTTGTCTTTATCTAAATTTCCTCTTCCACTTAAAAGCTTCAAGTATTCATTCCCTTGTGCAAAACTATCAGCGGAAGGCGCTAATCGGACCGTCCGAAACATTTACCCGTGACCTGAAGGACCTCTGTAATCCAAACTTCCCCGAACTTGTTCCTTGCGAGGCAGGTGTAAGAGCCCTGGTCGCTGACCCTCAGGTCGTGGAGCTGGAGGTCCCCGTTGTCCAACACCCTATAGCGGCCTCCGGTCAGCTCCTGCCCTTCCTTCAACCACTTGACCTCGGGGCGCGGGACCCCAAAAACCGGGCAGCGAAGGGTCACCAGTGACGACACCTCCGCAAGAGTAGTATGCTGCAGCGCCCCCACGCTGCTTGGGGCAAGCGCTGAAAAAGAAGCTCATTTAAAGTGTTTCACGTCATTACTGGGTTGTATGAGAATCTTGGTTTTAACACGGGATCTGGCATGCCCCATACAACATCCCATGTTAATCAGAAGAGCGACACGCTACTTTCGACCGTTAACCTCGACCAACACACGGGTCAACCTCGTATAAAGTATAATCAATATAACACTGCAGGAGTCTGTATTGTTTATATGACCTTGACGCCAGTGTGTTACGTGACACTCTGACGTCACGTGGCTTGCCGTCAAGTTCGAGCGTTGTGACGTACTTCACGCACTGCCATCAGACCACGTGGTACCGTGACGTTCTGTCAGTCACATATCACTTAGTTATAAGACTTCATGACGTATCGTGACGTTACACAAACACAAAGCATGCGATTAACTCATTCACGACATATACTATATGCATCTCCGAGTTTATTATATGAAAATATCGTCATTTTTGTTTTTAGCGATTAAAACATTAGTCTTAGGAACGCATGGAATGAGACAAGCACGCGAAATCCGACCACTGCAACGACTGAGATGCACTTTGTTGTGGAGACAAGCCTGCTTGCGATCGAGCGCGAAGGTTTGACTCCCTGCAAGCTCAAGCGTCCTGGTGCCGAAAATGGCATTCACTGGCGGTCATTGTTTAGTCCGTTCCTGCTCAACGCGACCTTGCGATTAACTTCCATAACATTTCTTAAACGTGAATTGCACACCACAAAGATTGTAGTTCTTCTCAAAAGAAATTCGGGGACTCGTTCTGAGCCTGGGTTCATCGTGGAAACTCGTTTTGCGGCCGGAAACTTTACGAATGCATATTATTAATTGCTACAGACACTTGATATCTACGAAACAAAGCCATAAAGCAGCCGTAGCATCTGAACTGACTTATCGGAACTGCTCTCGCGACTAGGCCAGCCGTACGTTTTGCGGTAGCGCGGTACAAACTTTGCGTCACAGCATGTCTATGCAGTTGATCACAAGGGTTGCCATCATGCTCGAGCCGGTAGTTTCTGTAGGACCCCGAAACAAAACTTTCAGATAGGGTATCTACTAATCTATACAAGGCATCGAGAAAAAAGAAACTGACACCTCGTCTTTCAGTGACCCTTCGTTTACTAAAAACCGTGGTATCTCCAAAATTAAGAAAATGTACAAGAGTTACTCTCTAAGAACAGCTTGAAGCTTTGTAGCTTTTAGCCAGAGAAATAATTTTGAGCTAGGCCGTACACCGTGAATTTAGACGTGGTTTTCTAAAGCGAGTGGTCGTTCTGCGGAAGAACATTTCAAAGGCGAGGTCTCGCTCTCTCGTCCACGTCGCCTTGGTCACGGTGACACTAGAGCTATGACTACTGTTTCTGATAGCGTGGTTTTGGTAACTGGAAAAGCTATTCGACTTCTAAATAAAAGAGAATAAACTAGTAAAATTCGAGATATTATAACAGAATCTCTGATACCTCCATCAGTTAGACTGTTATATTTGGGCTTTACCTGAAATACTAAAAGAATGCTACCCATTCCCTGCAAGGAACCTCTATCAAACACGAAGGTTCGACAGTTCAGCTTACACTTGGTTCGTTGTTATCATGTTTTTTTTTTTATGGGACGGCACTATAGGATTCGAATTCCGGAAGGTGTTCAAACAAAAGAACCTTTACGCCCCTTCTCCCCCCCCCCCCCTCCCCCCTCCCCCAGACCCGTGTTTCGTACCGAGGACGTTGAGGTAGAAGTTCTGAAAGGCGTAGCCGTGGGTGTTGGAAGCGTTGCATTGGTACACAGCCGTGTCCTGCTTGGTCAAGCCTTCTATGGTCATTCGTGAACCATCCACCTTACGGCGGGGGTTCGGTTCCGCATCTGCAAACACGCACTGGTGAAATAAAAACGGCATATTTATATATTTAAAATACTGATAGCCCAGGATGCCTCACAAGAGTTGCAAATATGTTTCTTTTTAGAGCGCAGCTCTTAGGCATCCCGTTTCCGGCTTGAGCGGCGTCGCCACTGATCTTTATTTTAGTAGGCTGGATCGCGGATCGGGATCCCGTCGGTGTCGCCACCGGCGGCCATTGCTTGACACCAGGCAATACACGCAAGTCTATGGGAGAAACGCACAAAAGTAAGCATATTGAAGCATGTACGCTGTGCTCGGAGGCGAGTATTTTATTGTGCGCTGCGATCTTCATGTCGGGTGTTTGGAGATCGAATCGGTATTTGTCAAACGTCCGGTCGCCAAATAAAAAAAATCAAACGTACCGGAGCACCTACGGCTGAGCAGGCAAGCTTGCTCTCGCAGTGAAGTAAACAAAGGAACTTTCCGTCAATAAGACCGTCCTCAGGGAAGCCCAGAAGTTGATGAATGACAAAGAAGTTCCATCTCGACAGCGGCTTTCCGGGAGTGAGCGAATTCCGCGTTGAAAAGCCTTGGAGCTTGTCGTTTGCTAAACCCAACTCAACGAAACCGTCACCGACTCCGCGGTAACTCTAGTTAACTCGCATCATTGAGCTGCACTACTGCGGAGTCACTCTCGACCACAAAATATTTATTTATAAGAATTGAGAGGGCTGTCAGTTTTAATGTTTGTAAGCAAGCTATTTGACGGGCTTATCGAAAAGCATCCAAAAAGTTTCAGTGCCGAGAACAGCTTAGAAACGGGAAAACGGCACTTTTTCTTGTTCGTCCCATAGAGTCCCATGCATTGGCTGGTGTCAATCAATGGCCGCCGGTGGCGACACTCGGCCCCAGCTTCCGAGGCCGCGATTCGCGATCCAGCCTACTACAATAGAGATCAGTGGGCGTCGCCGTCGGCGTGACCGCGCGTTGCATTATGCTACGTTTACAATAATGATGTCACAGGTGACGTCACGTGTGACGTCACGAGGGTCATTCGTGAAGGCCATGACGAAGGTCACGACTTCATAGTGAAGGTCACCACCTTCACGAGGCCTTCACGAGGGACGTCACGAGGGAGGAGGGAGGCCCTGGCCGTGGAGGGGTAGGAGGAAGGGAAGAGCAGATGTGGAGAATGAGAGGAGGAGGAGGGAGGAAGTGGGTGGAGGAGGAAAGAGGGGGGAGGAGGGGAGGAGCAGAGGGTACGGAAGAGGACGAGGGCTATTCCCTCCTTTCTGTACCCTCCCCTCTTCCTCCTCAAAAGCTGCGCTCTAATTCAGATTTACAGGGAATTGTAAACGTCTTTCATTTTTTCTTTCAGAAACAAGAAAATAAAAAGAACAAGAACTGTACAGCAAACAACGACCACAAATACAATCATCATTAGGGCGATTTCCCTGTTCAAAATGAGCGTCCACGAAATCATAACTAACACCATTTCAAGAGAACTAGCACATCTGTAAACAAAAATCTAGGAACACCTTTTCAAAACTCTCTCTTTTATCAATCTGAACAAAAAAAAATATGACATCCAAGCTGTTCCACACCTCATCTGTTGGTTTACCAGAAAAGAGTATAATTAAAAGCATCAATCCGCTGTACGGGTTGATTCCAAACGTATCCAAACGTATCCAAACGTGTTAGTATAGTATTTTATATAGTATCAATATATAGTATTAATAATAGTATTAATAACACACCCCTAGAACTTGTAAACTCATACAAGTATCTGGGTGTGATTTTAAGTGCTGACCTTTCCTGGAAACTTCACATTAACTATGTGACTAACAACGCCAATCGAATGCTTGGTTTTCTCAAACGTAACTTTTTTCTCGCCTCATCATCATTAAAACTATTCGTTTATAAAACATTAGTTAGGTTCAAGCTAGAGTATGCAGCTTCCATCTGGGATACCTCTACCCTTTACCTCGTTGATTCACTGGAACGTATTCAGAAAAGAGCTGCACGTTTCATAATGGCCAATTATAACCGCACCGCAAGCGTTACATCAATGAAAGATAATTTGTTACTCCCAAGCCTCGCACATCACCGCACAGTCTCTCGTATTTGTCTATTTCATAAAATCTATCACCGTATTCCTCAGCTTAAATCACAACTAGATACCCCCCTACTTTGTTTCAGCACGCCTTGATCATCGTCGGAAAGTCGGTGTCCCATTTCGCAACCCTAACGTTTATTATGACTCTTTTATTCCCGGGACTTACACAGACTGGAATCGCTTGCCTGCATCGCTCACGTCAATTAATGACCGCGCAGTTTTTTGTACATCTACTACCAATTTCATGTTTCCTGTTCTTGAAGTATTGTATATTTTGTTCCAATTGTTTATGTTTACTATTGTTCCCACTCCCCTCTGTAATGCCATGTGCCCTGAGGGTAAAATAAATCAATAAATAAATAATCACTCGAATTCATGTTATAATAACCGCTATATAGCTTATACAAAGATTGTGTCCTTCTAAGTTTTCGACGTTGGACATTCAAACGGCGTGAGGTCAGTGTGCCATGGTATGGCAGGACAGGTTCTGGCCGTCGATCAGAAAATTAGGAAGTACAGAATGACTGCTAGCTTGGATTCGCCAACGGCCTCGCGCGGTAGCGATACACATCCTTACGGTAATCATCCAGATCAAAATGTGTCGGACTTTCCAAACTCAGAGCATGTGCAAGTGTGTTGAAAGTCATGTTTTCAGTACCTCAGATACAGTTACGTTTCTGAATTAAAAAAAAAAAATTAAGTTACGAAAAAACTAAACACGTTTAGTTACTTCGACAATAACGCTTCGAGTGACTGGGGATTAAAGTGATAAAAATTAGAGCGGTCTGTCATTGTACATGCGATTTCACGATAGCTTAGTCTTGCTCAGATAAGCTTTTTGAACTACGTCAGGTTCCGTTTTTACCTGATTAGTTCTTTAGATTCGAAAAATCAGCTGAAAAAGCTGTTGTGTAGAACACTGGAAAGGAAGTTCATTGTGTCTTTCTCAATGACCAAGGTTTTGCGTAGCTTTCCATGTCCAAGTACCACTACAACGACAAGCAGCAGCAACCACAAACATGAGGGATTTCAGTCCTGCCAAAGATAACTTCGCGTGCTGAATAGTTCTGTTGTTTGTCGCTCTAGTGGTACTAGGGCTTTAGTTCTCTAGATACTGGTTTGCCTGACCATATTTGTGTGACCAGAGCCCTCCTTCTTCTTGGCCCACAGGCAATGAGGCCTTTCAAACCCAAGGAAAGCACATGTGTTCCATGCAACTCACTCTGAAGGGGAACGCCATTGATGAACCACTGTAGCTTCGGCTCCGGTCTGCCAGAGGCCGCACACTCGAAGGAGACGCTCTCGTCCTCGCCGGCGTTGGTGTTCTCTGGCGAGCGTAGCCAATAGGGAGCGGACTCTACCGTGACGTTGATCGCATGGGATTGAACCACGCCCACGCCGTTGTAGGCCTCGCACTCGTACGTGCCTTCGTCTGTGAGTGCGACGGGGATGGTCACCAAGTTTCTGCTGTAATTGGCAGTGGTGAAGTACGAAGATCCCGGATTCGTGTCAAGCTTTCTCCAAGTGATCTGTGGCTGGGGCCTGAAAAAAAATGTTCCGCTAATTTAGTTCGTTGATCCGATTGTAAAAGACACGAGCACTTCAATGCTCACAGCGCAAGAACATGGCCTTTCATTGCTCAGCAAGCGGACCTAATAACAGTCAGTCCCACGTACCTCTACAGGGGCCTTTCCTCGAAGCTATACCCCATTTATTATTCATTTCTCTTGATATCATTCCAGAAACAACACAGCCTTATACGTTTGAGTTAGGATTTTCTTTTTCTGCTTGAGTTATGACATTCGAAAGTTCACTCAATGGCTTACGCAAATAAATCTTCTATGGGGCCTGGTTAATTCGAACTATTCAAGTTCCATAATGTGCAGTGTCAATAGTGAACAAGGTTTTAAAACGGAATCTATCAGTAAAGCTATAACGCGGATTTTCATTTCGCTTGCAGTTTAGTCATTTAAATGCCATTAGCGCTTTTAACGTCTCACCTTAGTACTTCTCGTTGAAAATTTAAACAAAGTGCACCCGAAGGCTGTTTCAGTTCTGCTACAATGCAGTCTTTAATTCGTGAAAGGAAAGTTTTGACAATATATCCCTAGTTTAATTCCAACCAGTTTTATTTTTAATGCACGTTGTGTTGGCGCGACTCACGCTAGGGGCTCCGGTTCTGCAACGAACCTCACTGGACTCATCGCCCCCTTATGACAAAGACAAGCTTTCTTTACCGTATTATGCATTTTACTCAAACAATCACTTTAGATGTCATCATGTGGCTACTTGAGTAACCATATTTTTAAGAAAAAAAACTTACTTCCCACTGAATGCATACATTTGACCCTTTCCCTTCCGTTCCGCTGCAACCTAATTTACGTTGTTTCAACTTGCTTCAGAGCGCACGAAGCGATAGGATAAGTCCTGAAGCTCTGAAAGCGTAATACCACTTTGTACGTTTGTTATCTTTTTCCGTGTATCATCACCGTCTTGTCTAATGAATGAAAAAAGTGCACCGTGACATTGCGCTTGTATATCATCCAAACTTTGGTTTACGATGAAGACAAGTGTGAGCTGATGCAACACCACCTAGAAGAATCGAAATCAGTTAACAGCCTTTTCCACTTCTTTGATATGTCATCACACTCTGAAGTCGTCAACTTAGCAATTAGGCCTAAGACGGACACAATAGGCACAGCCGAACATTGACGCACCCCTCGCATCTAATTTGTGCCTGTGCTGGAGCTCACTGTAATGACGTCGAAATGCAATAGTGCACACGGGCTGTGATAATTCTAGGCGGTGTTAACTGATGACACTGAAAGAAACTTCCACACTCCGTGCGCTTGCAGGGAAGATGAAAAGTGTACGTATGTGCCCGAAAAACTAAACCAGGGACTCACGATCCTCCGAAGATGCAGTACAGCTTGAGCTCCTGTCCTTCAAGTGCGACCAAGTTTTCTGGTGACAGGTACTGTCTTACAGGAGCGTGCTCTGTACTTGACGCATTCGGCACTCGTTCAACCCGCAGCCGGACCTTATTCCCAATCTTGTACTGATGCAGGAAGACCGAGGTTGCGGCGCAGACGTACACCGCATCCTGCAAGGCATCCTCTCGCTCCACCTGCCGCGACGGTGAGGGCCAAAGATGTCAATGCCACACGCCTTTTTTTTTCTCTAAAACTGCAGAGAGGCACCGAGTTGACACTCAACCCCACAAATTTAGTGCAACGTAACCTCTCAATATCTACAAAACACATTTTACAAATTAGTCACAGCAGAGTATGTTTTCGAGCTCAAAGAAAGAGAGGGGGGGGGGGGGGGGGGACTCTGGCGAAAAAGAAAGATTTCACGGCACAAAAGAGCTGTAAAGTCACAGACAGTTGTAACTTTATGGGCAGCTTTATGTAAAGTCAGGCGGAAACAATGTCAACGATTTTCCAGTTAAATTTAGAGCAGCTAACCACGTGACGGAGCGTAAAGGTGATTCCTGACGCCATGACATCTATGAACAGGTTCTAAGTTCACAGTATCTTGAAAAGAGCTTAACTAAGTCTAGTTGTTTACAACCCGACCATTCTGAACACAAACCACATGGAAACCCTGGACTGAGAGCCGATGTTTTACTAAGAGAGTTGTCTTAATGTAACGCATGGCGCCATCTTTCTTGGCAAGAAATCGGCTGCCACACTGACACTTAAGACAGGTCATTTAGTGGATGTTCCTTTCATATCTGACCACCTTCGGTTTTTTTTGTGATAAAGTATTGTGGCTATGTCAGTACATGACATTAATTTTAGTCTAAAAAGAGTTGCTGTTGGGCTAACTGGTGCATGAAGCTGAGGAAACTTGTATACGCAAACAAAGACGAACTGGAAAAGGGAACACAAGGACACGCGCTTGTTCGTTTCGCCATCTTCGCTTTCGTCTCTGTTTGCGGATAGACGTTTCCTCGCTTTTATTCCAGCCGCAGAACCACAGCGGCTTTTCCCCAGAAAGTAAAGGGAACAAGGCATTGGGGGAAACGCGCTGAAAAAACAAGCACCTACGTTGGGAATTCTGAGCTTCACTGCAGAGATGAAAAATAACAAACACATGAGAGGAAGGTAGCCGACTCACCCTGGAGAAGTGCAGGCCCCCTTCGGGGTCGGACGTGATACGTGAAGAGTTCAACCCGCGCAGGGCACCGCTGTCGTGCAGAATGAGCCAGTAGACGTGAGGCCTGGGGTACCCCATCGGAGCGTTGCAGTCCAGCGATAGTGGATCGCCTTCCACCACACTCACCTCCCTGGGGCTCTCTTCCGGGAACGGGTTCAGCTCTGCAACGGGGCAGCTCTATCACTTCACACGGGACAAATAATCCCGATGCTCTGGCAGCCAGCTTGAAAAAAAAACAAAAAACGCTCCTAAATTTGACACACACGTTCCCCTCTAACAATTTGAGGACATATAGAAAATAAAATACAGACGTCTGCTAAATTTCGCTGACACATTATGTCACACTCGACGTTAGACATCCTAAGTGGGTAATTGATAAGCAAGTTGTGACCGCAGGGTTTCATTCTTAATGGGCCTGCAATGATGGCATTTGCGTTTTTTAGTTCGTTGTGTTTTAATCTTCGTATTGTTCACTACCTGATAGGCAGGCAACTAGATGGCAGGGAAATTTAACGAAGGGAGCCACGCAAATAAAAGAATGTTAGTAAAGGTCTCCTGAAAAGAAAAAAAACTGTATTTTTAAACAGTCTGGTTGAGACAGCCATGCAGAAAAATAAATTTTACGCGAAAAATAATATTTTAGAGCAATTTTTGACGGCGAGAGTATTTTTGGAAATTCTGCGCGCAAAGTCCATGACGTCACGGAATGGTCATTCGCTCAACGAGATGGTCACTTGGTCATTCGCTCTTTCCCCCTCAACGTGAAGGCGAAGTCGACCCACCTCTCCTCCACGCGCCCGAAATGCTGAGAGAGAAAACAAGTGGAAAGGGCTTGACCACCGACTAAATCGCGTCTTGCGCCGTCAGTGTTGCTCAAAAAAAAAAAAAAATGTTTTTTCGCATAAAATTAATTTTTTGACACGCGTGTCTCCCCAACACTGTTTAAAAAAGAAAATTTATTTTTCCTTTCAGGGATGCTTTCAGAAGCTTAGGGTCAAGAAAGGTTCGAAGATGTTGAAATTTATTTCTTTTTGAAGCTTCCAGTCTGCGGATTCTGTCAAAACAGTGAAACCCCGAGCTTGTGGGTGACGGAACAGGAGCATCATTCAAGATGTACTTGAGACATACGGCTTCTATATTTATTGACAGTAGTTCCTTTTCCTTTTAATCTTATAGAAGAATGGCCTTCGAAAACGTAATTGCTTCAAGAACATACACAGAAATCAATTTTTATTATCTCGGCTTTCGAATGAGAAAACTATTTTTTTTTATCTCCAACAGGGTCATTCATTAGCATTGCAGGTCTACGTGAGTGATGTAACGGTTAATTTGGGATAATGCAAGATACATATTGTCAGGAATGACAAATAATGAGGCGGCGAATAACTGAAAAAACTTAAAAGGGACCATGAAATGACCTTTTAATTTTGCCAGATAACTTTTACATTAAACCTTCAATGTTCACTGAATGCCTGACAGGGATCCGTTTTCGTCTCGGTTTATTAACTCCAACTGACCGCAAAACAAGTTGCGGCGTAATTTTGACGGCCGTGACGTACTCTGGCACAGGAACCGGAAGTTCTCTCGGCAGTAGGAGAATGGGAGCGTTAGCGGCCGCGAGTTGGGGGTGCGTCGGTAGGTGTTACAACTGCGCTGATGGCGCTGATGTCACCGACGTGTTTTCTGAATCGGCGCCTCTCATCGCCGCGATGGCCGCGGACACATCGCAGCTGAGGGAAATTCAATTAGATATGTTGCGCTACAGCAACAGCATGGGACTAGTCCCATACGCCGGTATGCCGGCGAGTCCTCCGGCGAAGACTCCAGTCATTCATCAGAATCGGACGAAGAGGAGTGGGGTGGCTGCAAAGAACGCAATGCTAGGTATACGTTTCGGCCGTATATTCAGATGTACGGAAGTAACAGAGATATAAAATGTTTTGTTTCTTTGAAGGTGCACTTGCAAGTCGTGCATAGTAGCACCTACCGCTCGAGAGTACTTCTGCTGCCGGGATTGCGCCGCCGCCGTCTCAATTCAAAACAACGGCCGCATCTGCGGAGAACACTGTGAATGTGGCCGTAATCACAATCAGTGTTTAAATCTTCCGAGCATATACGAATGGCCGTAGACCCGGGGTCCCTCAAACCGATGAGCCTGGACCAAGTGCTTCGACGTGGTTCATCGAGTGGCAAGCGGTGAAACTGCAACTGTTTCTTTTAAAGTCTGGACAGTTCAAGAACTGGAACCAACTCGGAGCGAAGGCGTTTCCGAAGAACTGTATTACGTGCAGCAGAAACACTCCAAGATCCCCAGTGTGACTGTAGAAATAGAAGAAGTCGAGATCGAAGTCTGTGTGGACTCGGGAGCTGGAGTTGACGTAATGGGAGAAACAACCGCCACAGCGAATGATGGGCAAGTGCGAGTAAGAGATCAGCTCAAGAAGGCACAGGTGAAACTGTATGCCGCCAGGAAACGCCACGCTGTGCCTCATAACCTTCAAAATGAAGATCTCGTGGTACTGAAACGGCCCGTGACTCTAACACATCAGTCCCAATATGACCCAGACCCTTATACGATTACATGTGTGCAAGGGACAGCTATGACTGCACAAAGAGGTGGCAAGAGAACGGTTCCAAACTCTTCATTCTTCAAGTACACTCTAAAAAAAAAAGGGAGTAGTACTTCCTCCCTTAAAGGTGGAACTCGCGTGTATCATATATTGCTCTACAAATGGAGGAAATTTTCCTCCTACAAAACGGGAGGAAATTTCCTCCCCTAGGAAGGGAGGAAAGTTGCCACCTATTTTTGCACGTGGAGAAAACGTTCCTCCCCTAAGAACGGAGGAAAATCGCCACCGTTTTGCGCCCAATGGAGGAAACTTTCTCCCCTCGTGTAATTCATATAACTTCCACCAGATGGCGCTCAAAACAGAAAAAAAAAATGTTGGTGAAGTGCCAATTTGTTTTCCAATGTCCCCCGCCCTTGAACGCTACATGGCAAATACAACACCGAACATACAGAATACACGAAACACAAGGAGAACACCCCACAAACGCAACAACGCACCGACACTGAACCCACACCCCTCTCCACGTACGCTAACTTCGCACTCTCTGTATATATGGCAGTCTTATTTTTGAATCCGACTTGGCCGGCGACTGCCATCATTTGTCGCATAAACACGGAGAGACGGAGCGAATGTTACTCGTACTTCATACATTATTTCACTTGTCTCTTGGAATAGCCCCTATCTCTTAATTCAACACCCTGATCAAAGCAAATGTAGATCATTAGGTTAATTAACTAAAATTTAATGAATATATTTTTAATAAGTTCGAAGAATCATGTTGGCAATGCAGTGTTGAAATGCAGTACACTGGTGCTAAAATTTGCCACCAAGCTATAGCTTGATTAGAGTGTGCAGTGCCACTGTAATCTATTTTAAGTTTCGGCGGGGGAATGATTAATTTTAATTGTTGCACAAGAATTTCAAGGAATTTTTCAAACAAAAAATATTCCTGGTTTTAACAAGACTCGTTGCAAGAGCAGGGGACACATCTTGGGTCACGCTTCGTCACCCGTAAAAGTGAAATTTAATATTGTTTTAATTTTCTAACCTGGAGCGTTCTACCTATAAATAGTAAGTGCCGGGAGCGATAAGGACCCACGAACCATGACTTTGGTATCGCAACCGCTTGAAAAGATCATGCTGCCCAAGTCAAAAAGTTAAAAAGCCCGTGTTGAGAGTTTTAGATCGTTCAGTCACTTCCGCAACTCTATAAGCAATCCATTATGGGTATGGCCTCCGCTATATGTACCGTAGCGGAGCCGTGTTTTCATGTTTTAGAGAACTTTGCAACCCGTTGCAGAATATAGCGTTACGAGAGCTAACGCAATGCAACTATTTTGGACACTAAAGCTAAAATAAAAGGTTGTACAGCAATTGTTAGTAATATTCTATTCATGTCGCTATCTAAATAGAACGTTAATAGTAAGCTTATGTTCCTCCTTGCTTCTTTTAAAAGTACGTCCAGCACATTTGCGACGAGCAGACTTGAGATTCACGTTGTTCACGCCGGGTGAACTTGGTCGTGTGCTACAGCCGGCCAGCGCTCGTTTCGCGACACGAGAGAAACCGCGAGATAAGGGATTAAGTGGGCCGCATAAAAGAAAACAAAAGTGCGACGGAATTATTTGTTCACTTTACCTTTTTTTTTTTTTTTTTTTTTTGCGAGTGCGTTATTTGATATGTAGCACACAATAGCAGGAGATGCCGCACGAACTAAAAAAGCGGCGGTGAACCGTCCGCTTGGTTGGATCATCCGTTCCTTCAAGACCGCAGATCCGGCCTCCCTCCCCCCGTTTCGCCCCGCAACCAGAATGGAATGTCTGTACTACCCTTTCTTCCAAGTGGACTCTTCCCGAATGAATTGTTGACCTTGTCTCCCGGATTTGTTGCTTCGTTCCTTCGCCGAATCGTCATTTCAGCGTCCTTTCTTGTGCGGGGATCAGGTTAAAAAAAAAATATATATATATATATCGCGTGTTCTCGCAAGCCGGTCGTGGTCCCGGTGTTGACGGACTACGACATGTGTCGGACGGCAGTCGCTCGCCGCATCGCAGTTCTCGTTCCTATCGACTGGATATGCTGTTCTGTTTTACACAGAACTGAAATAAACGCTACACGGATTACCTTTCGCTGTATGGTACGTACGCTTTATTTCAAGTGTATATGTTTTTCGCGGAGGTGACGGGGCTAGGAACGTATAGACGTGTCGACTCGAATAGAGCAGCGATCTTAGCAACAACGTGATTAAAGAAAAAAATGTTCCACGCTTATGACGATTATTTCTTGTGCGCCCTACTTGTTACTGAAGTTAAAGCCAATAGGCAGGCGAGCTGGTTAAGGATAGATAGTTTCGAGTCTGTTCGTCCTTTTTTGTTCCCTCGCTCCAGGGTCACTATGTCCACTTGTAATGTAGCAAGTAACGCGACGAAAGCAGTCGTACTTGCCATGCCAGTGATAAGTCGCCACCTGTACTTCTAGCAGCTGCAAGGTTTCATTCACAATGAATAAGCGCGATCTCGAAGCGGGCACATACGGCGTGATTCTTGCGAGACGCACGGCGTGATTCTTGCGAGACGCACGCCGCGCTACGC